ATACTTTTAAAGATGTTACACATGCTAAACATGGATCGTCCTTTTAAAGCGGCCCAAGCATTGTCTCTGTTTTTTTTTTAAGCAAAGGTAATTCAAGCAGAATTAAATGCGACCAAACACAGCACAATCGGCACTGAATTATGAATTATAAAAGTCCGAAATATCCCATGTTATTGTGTAGCTGATAAATCTCTGAGGCGTTCCCAACCTGGGCTCATGGACCTCTGAGGCCCCCACGGTTGTCTTTCCGGGCAGCCATGGGGCAATATAATTTTTTTTACGTCGAATTAAAATGAAATTTCTCGCCTAAAAGCATTTACACATATATGTTTAATATATGAATGTATGTATGTGTGTAAAAATATATACTACATATTTATATTGGTGAGTGTGAGGTGTGGATTGTGGTGTGATGCGTATGTGTGTGTAGTGCGAAAGTATTATGTAACACATTATATAATAACATAAAAACATATATCTTGAATATAATTTATAATCAAATCATTTAAATATATGAGGGCGTATTATGAAAAGACGGAAAATGCAATCCCGTAATGATATCGATAAATAACAATCCTCCCTGGCATAATAAGCCTTGACCTAGTCAACTACAGGTATGAACCGGAGAACACAATCTTAAAAATAATACCTCGGTATATGAATCATGATGTGACGTGACCACTGAGAGTGTGGGAAACTCGTTATCATTGCTCTAGTATGACTGGATAGGTGATAATATAGATTAATATGGTAAGATAGTAGATAGTGTAAGTCTGGAGTGGCTTAATTCGATTCATGGTCAGAGAGGGTTGCTGTTCAGCATATATCAAGGCGACATGCATTATTCCATCTTAATCTATTAAATATGTATATATATATGTGTGTGTTGTGAGTGCGCGTTGTGTGTGGTGTTGTTGTGTGGGGTGTGCGTGCGTGCGAGTACACACACACATATAGATATATACACAACAAGATGGTATATATATATATTATACATTATAGACACGAGTTAATACATACAATATATATTAAACGTATTGCAGTGAATAATAAAAACGTTTATATATATACATATCTATCTATCTATCTATATATATACCACACATGTGTGTGCGGGTGTATGTACATACCCGTATATATTTATATAATACGTAATTAATATACATCATGGTATTATATATAGCCGTTGATTACATGTGAGTTTAGATTTATCGAAATGAGAAGCGAAGCGAAGGGAGTTCAGGTCCAATGTCGGAGAACGGCGGACTAGCCAGGGCTGCCGGCATAAGGGAGAGGCGGACGACGTGGAACGGGGAGACCATCGACAGGCGAAACCGCCTTTCAAGGTGGAAATATGAGCAGCTTTGTTAATGAGATTCCTCTAGTTTTGCGGCCGCACAAACACACACCCACCACGGCATGCAACACCATGGACACACATATATATGATGTATACACATACGCATACGTACATATACGCGTTCATATAATATCTAGACAGATAGAATAGATAGGTGATAACATACTGGTAATGTCGTATGAGCCGATAGTCCAGTGTAAGTGGCTGTACCTGCAGTGATTATCATTCAGCCAAATTTCTTATTTAATAGTTATCTATTTACTATTGTCCAAAAAATTATTATTACAATTATGATGTTCAGCATAATCTAACGACTGTATAGCTACTTAAAGCTTCAACACGCAAAGAAAAGGAAGCAATGCAACGAAGATCAGATAAATGTATAGTCTGCTTTATAACTATTAAAGCATATATATATCCAGACAAATACACAGGTACTGTATATGAACACATATTTCCTAACTACTCAACAGACAGGTACCTTTATATATATATAAAGGTCGTGTAATATATATAATAGACAGAAGAAAAGAAAGAAATAGAAAGAGAGGATGGAGATGATATATTAAAGGCCATACCCATAACTCTTGGCTGAACTGCGTATTACAGTATCAGTAAGGATCAGGTGTTGAAAGATGTATACCTACATCAAAATAAAGAAGACAAATGTTACAATATAGCTCGATAAATACTGATGGATCAATGAAATTTTGTGGAAAAGGAAATTATAAAGTTATTATTATTATTATGCATATATTATATATATATATATAGATATATAGAATAGTGTGTGTGTGTGGGTGTGTGTGTGTGTATAATATATAATATGCTATGTTGTGTCGTATGTGTGAGTGAAATTATAAACATATCCAGTGTCTTTATATACATATACATGCAACAAAAATTTACGTAAAAACACTACACCACATATAGAGAGATATAGATAGAAACATATATCATTTTATGTTTCTATTCACCACACACAGAGTAAAGTTATCTGTATAAACAACCTGGTAATGTCGTATTGAAACCGGAATAGTTTAGTGTAGCTGCAATGAATTATACAATTCAGCAAATTTCTTACTTATTAGATATTATGTTTCTAATGTCACAGAAAAAATTATTTATACAATTATAATGTCAATTCAGATATAACGACTGTAAGATACTTAAAAGCTGCACACAAAGAAAAAGGAATCATTCAAAGGAAGATCAGTATGTAAATATATATGCATACTTTGTAACTTATATAAAGGCATATATATATAACAAACAAGTACACGCGGTACTGTATAAAAAAATAATTTCCTAACCACTCAAGAGATAAGTAACTTTATGTATATATATAAAGAGAGGGAGAGAGAGACAGAGGGAGGGAGGGTGAGAGGGGAAGAAAGAGATAAAGAGAGAGAGGTGGAGAGAGAGAGAGAGAGAGAGAGAGAGAGAGAGGGGGTGAAAGAGAAGGAAATTGATATATGAAGACATACCTGAAAATCTTGGCTGAACTGCATATTTCAGTATCTGGGATGTTCGATCTGCAATGATCATATGTAGAATATTTTAAGCCAAGATAAATGTTACAATATAGCTTGGTAAATAATTGATGGATAATGTGTTGTGCTACATAAAATTCTGTGGAAAACAAATTATTAAAGTTATTATATACATGTCTAATTATGTATATGTTTGTGTGTATACGTGAGAGGATGATAATAAGTGTCAGTGTCTGTATATACATATATATTCATGCAAACATTTACGTAAAAACACATGTACATACACACACACATGTATATAGATATAAACACATATCATTTATTATTCTCTTCATGTATATATATATAATATTTATACACACGCTCATATGTGTGTGTTTTCACTGTCAGAATATGAAACCACTTACTGTTATTGTCCTCGACGCAACCGTGTGACACATTGAAGTTTTCAGCAGCAACAATGTTCTTTAATGCAAGAGTCGAAGTTGTTATCCCATCGAAATTCCCTAGTCCATGTGTTGCGGTTTTTTTCTCATGGCCTATTTGAAGTTCTAAATCGTATCGACAGATTGTGGCAGCGAGGGTAAATGACTGGTTCTTCGGCATGGGAAGGAAGCCATCGCCTGTGATTTCTTCTTTACCAAAATGTCCGTGAAGTTGTATAACTGCATTCGAGGTAGAATTTAGTGTCAAGTTCATGACAGGCGTTGGTCGGATGTCTTCCCTGACTGACACGAAGAGGTTTAACTGCCAGTTATCGTCGTGGTTCGGTTTCACGCCCACGTTGACTGTCCACGAATCTCCGTTCTTATTCAGAGGACCTTGAAAATGGCTTCCAAGCGTCGTCACCTCACAACCTTTGCGAAGAGAAATGTCATTCCGGCTTACCTCTCACGAAATATTGATTAATGTATTGAAGATAATTTATGATATGCGAGATTCAAAAGAAAGAAACAATAAAATGAAAATTCACCTCGTATCACCATCGGCAGCACGATCGCCATCACAACAGTCGTCCAAGTCATCGTTACCCCACTCTTTCCTCTGCAAACAAGCGCTTCTCAAAGGGGCAGCAAAAGTAAACATGCACTAGCCGGTTGCATTCGAGATCGTCTTCACTGATCTAATTGCTAATGATCAGTGTTTCTCTAAGAACTCACGTGACCAGACTTTCCGACGGCGCCTCTCACACTGCCTGTGTGCTGAAGATGCGTCACTTCCGAGAAACACTCAGACGCGGACGCAGGAAATACGAAGGGAAGCTGTTGACACACAAATATATGTACACATGCATGTCAGCCTGGCATGTTTTTTATCACTTTTGCAGGTTAATGTTCAAAGTGACTAGTTAGTGGCATACCGAAAATGGTTTACTGAAATATAACAAAAAAATAGAAAGTATGTACTGTAAATAAGTTTACAGATTTAATCGTTTTTGGTCTAAGGAATAATCAAACGTGCACGACAGTACGCTACAAGAACATTAACATTGATTAAACTATTATTGAATTATTCCGGTAACCTCATATTGCGTTTTTGCACAAGATCCTTTGGCAAGAAAGCGAGAAAAAAGTTTCATTCGCCTTTTAGGGTTCATTTGAGTGGTCTCGTGGGTACCAAACACAAGATCTCATTGCCACTTGAAAATTCTACTAGTTACCATAACTAGAAAAATCTTGCGATTTGTGCTCCCAATACTTGCGTCTCACGAAGCATCGAAACGCAGGAAACCAAAAGTTACCACGAACGAATTTGCTGCAGCCGACAGGAGGCATCAAGAAAGTATGTTTCTTGATCTAAGTGTTCCGAGTAAGTATAGTATTTTTTTTTCTCTCTCTCTTATGTAGGTGTGAACAAGGTTCATACCTTTTAGGTATTCGTCAATGAGAAAATAAATTTTGACGATAAAGTCTTTGTAGTCGGGCTTTATGATTTCAAAATTTTCGTTTTAAATTCCTGAAGTGAAATTTACCTTATCTTCTAAAAACGTAAATGTTCAAGTGTATATCCTTGTGATATGATTCGCATACTGTTATTGCTCGTAACTCATTATGTCATCATATTGTTTTTTTATGATTTCACTCATTTCTGAATGCTTTGTTCGAGGCCATGTGACGAGAAAGAACAGTAAGTGGGGATTGAAGTGTGAAATGAATTGCTGTTTTACCTCTTTATTCGTCTATTTACAAGTGTGTGTATACTAAGTCATAGGAAGTAAGTCAATCAATAATCACGAATTGTCAAATCGTAATATAGGCTGAATATGGAGCATCAATTATCAACTCTTAGATTATACATAATAAAGTTTGAAGAATATGCAATGTACATAAGGTGTGAAACTTCACTTAATTACTGCCAATCTTCTATCGCAGTGATATAGAAATATATTGCAACAAACTTCTTTACTATATGCTTCTCATGACCTCATATAGAAAACGAAATACATAATAGCAAATGCAGTCAACACTGTGAGAGCAGCTGTGGAAATACTCATGTGAAATCCGCATAAATGCTGTTTCTGAGTGACTGCTGTGAATCCGTGTCCCTTTCGCACTCGTAAATGCTGTTTCTCTTCGACCGGCTGTCGGATGATTCTTCAGTGTCAGTTGCACTCTCGTAGATGTGTTCCTCGAGAGAACACTTTTGTTGGTAGTTTGCACAGTTCGTGTGCGTCTGTTCCTCTTTATCACTTGCAGTGTCGTAGATGTGTTCTTCAGGAAAACTCCTTTCTTGGTAGTTTGCATAGTCTGTGTACTTCGGTACGGCTATATCACCTGCACTCTCGTATATGTGTTCTTCAGGAAAACTCCTTTCTTGGTAGTTTGCACAGTTCGTGTGCGTCTGTTCCTCTTTATCACTTGCACTTTCGTAGATGTGTTCTTCAGGAAAACTCCTTTCTTGGTAGTTTGCATAGTCTGTGTACATCGGTACGGCTATATCACCTGCACTCTCGTAGATGTGTTCCTCGGGAGAACTGTGGTGTTCGTCTACGCACAGTGCGCTGCCCATACCCATTTGGCCTGAAGCAACCCAAGTGGCGTGTGCAGTACTGTGTTCCTGGGCAGGCGTGGCAACGTTTACGTAAGTGTTGTCAGATAAAGCGTGGACGCGGATATCCTGCTGGGCTTGAGCTTGGACGGGGCGAGGTCCTTCGTCCTGGACAGAGCAGGAGGCTGCGTTGTCAGGTGGGGTTCCGCGCAGTCGCCTGGAAGCGCAGTAGATCACCAAGGTCGCTGCCATCGCGAGGGCCGCAGCGCCGCACGAAGCCGCAACTATGACTATAGTGTTGTTTTCTGTTGTGAGAAATTTATTGAATGAAAATAGGCGCTACTCATGAGATCGAGCAGTCACGCCAGTAATGATAAATATGGAGATTTTTAAAAAATCCTATATTAATAACCATATACGAAAATGATAGTGGTAAGTTATGAAAACCGTAACCGTAATATCTCAATAATATAACAGACGTTACACGAATGAAATGATAATTATAGTATCATATACTCTAAGTAAACAAAATACGAATATTTGCGCACCCGCATCCACACGCACCTACATGTGGGTTTCTACATATACATATACAGCTATACAGACATATTATTATTACAGATTTCAGAGAGACATCAAAGACAGATCTTGACTAGTAATACAAGCAAAAATGGCAAGGGAGGAATATCAGTATCGCATGACAACAGCGGTGACAGCAAGTGAGGTAAGAGATTAATTGTAATAAAGTAAAATACATTAATACTTTAAAGATGTTACACATGCTAAACATGGATCGTCCTTTTAAAGCGGCCCAAGCATTGTCTCTGTTTTTTTTAAGCAAAGGTAATTCAAGCAGAATTAAATGCGACCAAACACAGCACAATCGGCACTGAATTATGAATTATAAAAGTCCGAAATATCCCATGTTATTGTGTAGCTGATAAATCTCTGAGGCGTTCCCAACCTGGGCTCATGGACCTCTGAGGCACCACGGTGTACTTTCCGGGCAGCCATGGGGCAATATAATTTTTTTTATGTCGAATTAAACTGAAATTTATCTCGCCTAAAAGCATACACATATATGTTTAATATATGAATGTATGTATGTGTGTAAATATATACATACATATTTATATTGGTGAGTGTGTGTGTGTGTGCGTGTGTATGGTATGTGTGTGTATGTGTAAATGTATATGTATACACATATATCTATATATATATATATATATATATATATATACATATATACGTATACATATATACATATATATGAATATATATTTATAATCAAATCCTAAATATACTGAGGCGTATTTATGAAAGACGGAAAAATGCAATCCCGTAATGATATCGATAAATAACAATCCTCCCTGACCAGGACGTGAACCTAGGTCACTACAGGTATGAACCGGAGGACCAATCTTAAAATAATACCTCAGTGTATCTGAATCATGATTTGAGTTGACCACTGGGAGTGTGGAAAACGTCGTTATCATTGCTCTAGTATGACTGGATAGGTGATAATATAGATAATATGGAAGATAGTAGATAGGTAATGTCTGGAGTGGCTTAATTCGATTCCTGGTCAGAGACAATTGTTGTTCAGAGATATCAATGCGACATTGCATTATTCCATCTTTCATATATATATATATATATATATATATATATATATATATATATATATATATACATATATATATGTGTGTGTGTGTGTCTGTGCGCGTGTGCGTGCGAGTATACATTCACATATATATATACACACACGAGTATATATAAATATATATATTTATATATATACATAATTATAGTATTGTATTGCATAAATATAAAAACGTTTATATATATATACATATCTATAAATATATACATGTATATATATATATATATGTATGTATGTATATATATATGCATATGTGTCTGCGTGTGTGTGTGTATACACACGTATATATTTATATATACGTATACATATACATATGTATGTATAGATATACGTTGATATACATGTGCGTTTTATTTAGGGTTATCGAATATGAGAAGCGAAGCGAAGGGAGGTCAGGTCAGGTCGGAGGATCGGGCGGACTATGCGCAGGGCGGCCGGCATAAGGGAGGAGGCGGACGACGTGGAAAGCGGGGAGACTGTCGGCAGGAGAAAAGCCGCTGTTCAAGGTGAAAACTGGTAGCAGCTTTGTTAATGAGGATTCCTCTAGTTTGCGGCCGCACAAACATACACACACGCATTCACACCATGGACACACACACATATATAATGTATACACATACGCACACATACATATATACGTTCATATATAGACAGATAGATAGATAGGTAGATAACATACCTGGTAATGTCGTATGAGCCGAATAGTCCAGTGTAGTGGCTGTACCTGCAATGATTATACATTCAACAAATTTCCTAATTTAATAGATATCTATGTTAACTAATGTACGAAAAATTATTTATTACAATTATAATGTCATCAGATATAACGACTGTATAACAAAGGAAAGGAATCATGCAAACGAAGATCAGTATATAAATGTATATGCATACTCTGTAACGTATATAAAAGCATATATGTAACAAACAAATACACAAGGTACTGTATATAAACACCATTTCCTAACTACTCAAGAGATAGGTAACTTTATATATATATAAATATATATATATATATATATATACGCATTTATATATGTGTATATATATATAAAGAGAGAGCGAAAGAGAGAGAGAGAGAGAGAGAGAGAGGGAAATTGATATAAGAAGACATACCTGAAAATCTTGGCTGAACTGCATATTTCAGTATCTTGGATGTTCGACCTGTAATGATCATATGTAGAATATTTTAAAAGTAAATATGTTTACCTACACCAATATAAGCCAAGATAAATGTTACAATATAGCTCGGTAAATAATTGATGAATATGTTATACTACATAAAAATCTATGGGAAAGAAATTATTTATGTTATTATATATATATATATATTATATATATATATATATGTGTGTGTGTGTGTGTGTGTGTGTAATTATGTATATGTTTGTGTGTATGTGTGAGAGGATGATAATAAATGTCAGTGTCCGTATATACATACATATACATACAAACATTTACGTAAAAACACATGCACACACACACACACACATGTATATAGATATAAACACATATATTATTTATTTTCCTCTTCATGTAAATATATAATGTTTATGCACACGCTCATATGTGTGTGTTTTCACTGTCAGAATATGAAACCACTTACTGTTATTGACCTCGGCGCAACCGCGTGACACATTGAAGTTTTCAGCAGCAACTATGTTCTTTAATTCAAGAGTCGAAGTTGTTATCCCATCGATATTCCCTAGTCTATGTGCTGCGGCCTTCTCCGCATGACCCATTTGAAGTTCTAGATTGTATCGACGGACTGTGACAGCGAGGGGAAAGGACTGCTTCTTCGGCATGGGAAATAAGCCATCCTCAGCGATTTCTCCTTCACCAAAATGACCGTGGAGTCGTACGAACAGATTTGAAATGTGGTTTAGTGTCAAGTTTATGATCGTCGTTGCTTGGGCCTCTTCACTGACTGTCAGGAGGAGGCCCAGCTGCCAGCCATCGTTGTGGTTCGGATTCACGCCCATGTTGACTGTCCACAAATCTTCGTTCTTCTTCAGAGGTTCTTGAAAATAGCTTCCAAGCGTCGTCACCTCACAACCTTTGCGAAGAGAAATGTCATTCCGGCTTACTTTTCACGAAATATTGATTAATGTAT